CCTCTTGTTTCATTACTTTTTGGGTGCAGGAGGGTGGCTTCCCTGGGGTCCAGGAAGAGCGGGCTGCAGCAGGTGACAGTAGGTTGGATCTGGCTGCGGCTGATGGGAGAGAACTGCCACTGGTCCAAGCTCCATCTCACTCTTCTGTCTCCGCTACTCCTCTCTGTCTCTCTACTATCCCATGCGCACTCTCTGTGCGCTTGGAATTAATGAAGTATAATCACTTTCCCCTGTCACAGAGGACGCTTGGTGGCGATGGCAAAATGGCAGGGGCAAGATACAGCGCACAGGACATGTTCCAGAACTCGTTTTTGCCAGTACAGTATCCAACTCATGCTGGTATATTAGACAGTCAGGCTGAGTAGATAACCTTTTCTCTGTCTGGGATTGTCGCTTTATAAGTAAAAGAACAATAAATCTAATTTTGTAAACGTGTCTCAAAAATATTTCCTTTGCCCCTGGTGTGCCCAATGATTGCTTGTAAAATGAAAAATGTGACGTGCGCAGAAAAATGTCTTAGTCCATGTACTGTTACTTTACAGGGAACACATAGCAATGGGGGAGGTTTATAAAAGGGTCACCTAAACCTTTGCATTTCATTTTCTGCAAAGTTTTGGTTTGATTTGTCAGACACACTCAGCCTATCAATGTGTTCCCACTGACAAAAATAGTACAGACCTTTTTTTTCGATGAGCACCCATTCATAGACTGAAGGTAAGATGGTGCCCAGTCCCCGTAACAGCTTAGCGACATGCATCATTTCACAATTATTTTTTTAAACCAGTAAGCAAACACTTTTAACTAAATATATAAACCAATATAAAGTAAGACAAACTTTGAAAAGTCTGTAGTAAACATTTACAAACTTATTATGAACTTGGTCAGATTGCGTTGTTGGACACGCCTCTCAGCTAGGGGAGTTTCTTCACCCCTCCTCTCCTTCTGGCCCACCCAGCTCAGTTTCAGACCAGTCCACTAATGACAGAAACATGGCATCCTTGTACAGTAGCAGGAGATGATCTGCATGATCACACTGAGCAGATGTTGCAAGGTGACGAGCTCTTCCAACTGCACACGTGTAAATGTGTCAGACACACCCAGTACACTTTTCCATTATTCCTAGGGATAGGATACTGATTGGTTAGATCAGTGTACCCCCTGGAGCAGGTGTGGAAAGCATAAGAAAGAAGCAGAAAAATATTTTAAGTAATGCTTAAGCTTTGAAATGAGACAGTTGTCTCAAGGTGATGCATGTTCCTTTTAAATAAGCATATGTTGTTGTGGGTGTGAGAGAATTCCATTAATTCTATTTTTCGGAGCACTCAAAAACATATTTGTTAAATGTAGGGAGAATAATAAAGGTACGAGATAGTATTTTTCACTTCGATACTGTGTGCCCTGACCCGATGTTTTCTGCTGACAGTTTGCAGGACAGTGGTATCTGCTGTCTGTCGCATCAGAATGTAATTATCTGAAAGCAAACAACCATCGCGTGGAGGCAACAACGATCAAGGCTGCGCGATCCACAAAACCAAGGGAGACGGAGAACCTGCTTGTTCATACGCTGCGGAAAATGTAAGGAGACTTTCAATCTCTCATGCCGTTTGAGATAGGAGTATTAATGAATCCAATACATAATATCTATTTTTATTCCCAGGGCTAAACCACTGAGATTTTACTGCTATATATTGAATGTCATGTTTATTTTTATAGGGACGGGATCTGCTGGGAGATTAAACAACAATATCGCAAGAACAAAATCAACGGCAGGTTCATATTAAAAGGTTGGTCCACACCCCACTCCCCACAGCTTTCTGTAGCTTGTATTGCCAGACGTTGAAGACTGATGAAATCCTTTCTGTTTGCCCAGTTCGTGGATCTATTCGGCAGCTGGACATGGTGGTGGCAGAGACAGATTACGAGAATTACGCCATTCTGTATTACCAGCGGCAAAAGAAAATTACCATTAAGCTATACGGTCAGTTTGTGTCCACTCCAACCCCTCCATAGAAAGACAATCAGTGCACTGCTGTATGCAAAGTGGTGATGGTTACCTATAGAACTGCAGATGTTTAAGAACAACACGTCCCATAATGCTTTTCCTTAAAGGGACACTATAGCCACCAAAACAACTTTAGCTTAATGAAGCAATTTTTGTGTATAGATCATGTCCCTGAAGCCTCACTGTTCAATTCTCTGCCATTTAGGAGTTAAATCACTTTGTTTCTGTTTATTCAACCCTAGCCACACCTCCCCTGGCTATGATTGACACAGCATGCAAAAAACAGCTTTATAAGTTTTTATCTCCTGCTCTGTAAGTTGAACTTTAATTACACACTTCTGTAGGGTCTAGCAAGCTAATAACAGAGCAAGAGATAAGAAATTAAAATTTAAACATAATTTTCAATAAAGGAAGTATAAACATTAGATGACTCTTTTGAGGAAGTGTTTAGGCTGTGTAAGTCACATGCAGGATGGTGTGGCTAGGGTTGCAAAATCATAGTGATTTAACTTCTAAATGGCAGAGAATTGAGCAGCGATATTGTAGGAGTGTGAACTATAATCAAAAACTGCTTCATTCAACTAAAATTTTTTGGTGCCTATAGTGTCCCTTTAAGGTTGGCAGAGTAGACTAGTCCATCTGAAAACCAGGAGATTTCCTAGTGGACCCTTCTAGCCTGAGGCCGGCTGCGTGTCAGAGAGTGTGCGGTTCTGGTGGTCTGAAGGTTCTGGTGGTCTAAAGGTTCTGGTGGTCTGACGGTTATGGTGGTGTGATAGTTCTAGTGGTGTGACGGTTCTGGTGGTCTGACGGTTCTGGTGGTGTGACGGTTCTCGTGGTCTAACAGTTCTTGTGGTCTGATGCTTCTGGTGTTGTGATAGTTCTGGTTGTGTGATGGTTATGGTTGTCTGACGGTTCTAGTGGTCTGACGGTTCTAGTGGTGTTACAGTTCTGGTAGGATGGGTCATATCAGTAGAGAGGTTTACCAATTACTGTACTATAAGTTGCTCTTAGAGTACACTAAACAGAAATGCAAAGTGGCTATGGCGCTTAAACTAGACTATATATTTAATAAATACTCGGCTGCAAGCTGGGCTCACTTAAACCCAGATGACATGACGTAGTGAATGTAGTATCTGTCAGCTTGGCTGGGGTTTTTAATGCTCTGGGCTTGGATTTGAATCCATTATCGATATCCTACATATAATTTCTATTCTCTGCTCATTATGCAGGACGTGGTAAGACTGCGAAAGACGATATTTACCGCAAGTTCGATGGACATGCCTCTAACCAGGGCATAGACCTGCTTTATATCTACCCATTTCCAACATATGGTGAGCACATATATATAATTATATTATATTATAATGCCAGGTCGCCTTGTGGTCTATTCCCTGAATTTAGGGAAATGGACCCAACACATAGATGTGACGGGGAGAGAATGGTAGTGATGAAGGGGGTTTCTGGTGAAGGAGGGGTTTCTAGTGACAAGGGGAAGGGGTTTCTGGTGAAGGAGGGGTTTGTAGTGACAAGGGGGAGGGGTTTCTGGTGAAGGAGGGGGAGAATTTTTGATGAAAGAGGGTTTTTCTGGTGAAAGAGGGGGAAGGGTTTGTAGTGTCAGAGGGGGGTGATTTCTCGTTAAGGGCATAAGAGTTTCTGGTGAAGGAGGGGGAGGGGTTTCCTGTTAAGGAGAGGGTGGGGTTTCTGGTGAAGGGGTGGGGTTTCTAGTGACGAGGGGAAGAGTTTCTGGTAAAGGAGGGGGGAGGGGTTTCTGTGAAGGAGGGGTTTCTGGTAAAGGAGGGGGGAGGGGTTTCTGTGAAGGAGGGGTTTCTGGTAAAGGAGGGGAAGGGATTTCCTGTGAAGATGGTTGTAGCGGAGATGCAATATTACCCAGGTTATCTCCGCTTATAATCCAAGTGAGACTCAGGAACAAGTAAATAGTAAATCCAAAGGCAGGGTTTCCAGCAGGTAAAATACAGCAATATCCCAACAGCAATCCCAATAACTGGACGACACACAGTTTCAGGAGCATAACTGACAAGCCTATAATCGCAGTCTCCTTATAAAGCATGCTCCCATGCAAGGGAGGAACTTACAGTAATTATTACAGTAGCCAATCCTGTCCTGGTAACCTCCCACACATCCCCTCCCCTCAGCCAGCATCATAATCCCCTTATCCAGCACACCAATTCCCCCCGTTTCTGGATGTACCCCTAAACGTACATCCTACACCCCCTGATAGCCCTGATCTGGGTGAACAACATATCCAAAAATCACCCAGATCGGACCAGGGGTTCGGGAAAAGTATGGAGGGAATAAAATGACCGACCGCAAGAACAGAGATAGCCGAATTCGGTTCCATGTGAATGGGCCTTGCGGTCGGTCCTGGCATAAGGGAATAAAATACACGAAAGCCTCTAGCTATAGAGGCTAGGGAGGGTTCGCCTGAATCCCCTCGTTCGGTATTTTCTATTTACCGAACGAGGGGCCGTTCGGTAGTTTGGAACCGAACGGACCAGGTTTGTGGAGGTCTCAGCGGTGTTCGCCTACTCGAGTGTCCGATTTTAGTTCCAGACACTCGACAGCAAAACACCGCTGTTCGGGAGTTTTAAAATGGCCGCCGCCACGTGTTCGTTTGTCGAATGGCGGCCACCCCCGAGAACAAAGGACGGCTACTTACTGTTCAATTACCCGTTCGCAACAATGTTGCAACGGTTAATTGAGGACACACTTCACACAGGGGGGTCTGGTTGTTCGGTAGTTTCATTCGAATAAACTAAGGGAATGAAACTACCGAACAATCAGAGGAATACAATTCTTTTTCAATACACAGGAAATACAGCAGATACACGGATGCAGCTTTATACAGTATTTTTGTAGGGTCGCCTGGTGCCATCCGCTACACTGCTCCCCCTTGCCCACAAGCCGGCATGCACAGTCTGATCCAACACGGATCGGCTTGGGGATGTCCGGGGAGGCTCACGGATCATTTCTCTAGGTCAGTTTGTCGAGACAACCCATCAGCATTTCCATTCTGTTTACCCGGGCGGTACTGAATATTAAAGTCAAAGGGCTGCAGCGCCAGACTCCAGCGCAGCAGCCGGGCATTGTCCCCAGCCACCCGGTTTAGCCATACTAACGGGTTGTGATCCGTGAGCAGGGAAAAAGCTTGGCCGTACAAATATGGCTGTAATTTCTTCAGGGCCCACACCACAGCCAGGCATTCTTTCTCGATGGCGGCGTAGCTTACTTCTCGAGGTAACAGTTTCCGGCTGATGTAAGCCACGGGATGTTCTCCGCCATCGGCCCCGACTTGGCTTAATACTGCTCCCAATCCAAACATAGAAGCGTCTGTGTGGACAAGAAAACGTTTAGTTGGATTGGGGGCTGCCAAGACAGGGGCATTTGTCAATGCATCTTTTAACAACTGAAATGCCTGTTCACACTCCGGGGTCCAGGTTACCTGGCGGGGTAGGTTTTTACGGGTCAAGTCGGTGAGAGGTTTGGCCAGGGCACTGTAATTCGGGACAAATTTCCGGTAGTATCCGGCCGTTCCTAAGAACGCTAACACCTGGGTCTTAGTCCTAGGGGTCGGCCATTGAGCTACAGCCTCTACTTTGGCTGGTTCCGGCTTTTGCTTGCCGCATCCTACCCGATGACCTAGGTACTGTACTTCAGCCATTCCTATGCTGCATTTGGCTGGTTTCAGCGTTAAACCAGCGGCCCTAATCCTATCTAGGACCGCTCCTATATGGGTCAGGTGTTCCTGCCAGGTATTGCTGAAAATGGCAATATCGTCGAGGTATGCGCAGGTATAATCCTGGAATCCATCTAGGAGGCGGTCCACCATCCGCTGAAAAGTAGCCGGGGCGTTTTTCATCCCAAACGGCATGACCTTAAATTGGTACAAGCCGAATGGGGTGACAAAGGCCGACTTAGGGATGGCGTCTTGTGCCAAGGGTATTTGCCAATACCCTTTACACAAGTCAATTGTGGTGAGATAGTGCCCCCTCGCCATCCAATCCAGGAGTTCGTCTATCCTGGGCATCGGATAGGCGTCCGATACCGTCTTCTCATTTAATCTCCGGTAGTCTACACAAAACCTGGTCGTGCCGTCCCGCTTTGGTACTAGGACTACCGGAGATGCCCAGGGGCTGTCAGAGGGCTCAATCACCCCCAGCTGGAGCATCTCGTCTATCTCCTTGCGCATGTTCGCCCGTACCGCTTCTGGGATGCGGTACGGGGTCTGACGCATGGGAAGTTGCCCTGGGGTGTCTACTCGGTGAGTGGCCAGAGGAGTGTAACCAGGTACATTAGAGAAGATATCCTGCTTCTCCCTCAACAGCTGTTGTACCTCGCTCCGCTCCTGTGGGCTCAACCGATCCCCCAGGGTGACCTCCCCTAAGTCCCCGGATAACTGACCCTCTCCCAGCAGATCCGGGAGAGGTAAACTGTCAAACTCTTCGGAGTTAGGCGCACATATAGCGGTCACTTCCTCCGAGCGCTCCTGGTAGGGCTTCATCATGTTCACATGGAGCATGCGTCGCCCCCCAGTACCAACGCACGAGCCGATTATATAAGTGGTGTCACACCGTTGTTCCACCACCTTATAAGGGCCCTGCCAGGCGGCCTGCAGCTTATCGTGTCGGACAGGTTTTAAGATTAACACCTTCTGCCCGACCTGAAAGCTACGGTCCCTGGCGCCCCGATCATACCATGTGCGTTGGCGTGTCTGAGCCGCCTGCAAATTCTCGCGTACCGTCTGAGTTAAGGCCTCAAGGCGGTCTCGGAATGCCAACACATAGGGTATGATGGGGGTACCGTCAGTGCTCCGTTCTCCCTCCCAATGCTCTCTGATCAAATCTAAAGGCCCTCGTACCCTGCGGCCAAACAATAGTTCAAATGGGGAGAACCCAGTGGATTCCTGCGGCACCTCCCGGTAAGCAAAGAGGAGGTGCGGCAGGAACTTCTCCCAGTCCTTGTGGGTCTCTGCGAAGGTTCGGAGCATTTG